TGTTCAGCAGACATCTGGCTTCTGAAAATTTACGTTAATATATGATGGCCTTCAAAACATTAGAATATCCAGGAATACATCTTGTTCTCTTTTCGTTCAATAAGTAATTAGACTTGTCTCTCATGTTGTTCTTCAAGCATTGAAATCAGTCAACCTTATTTAAATCGTGATCACTATGATAATAAATTTTTTACAATATTCTAATTTAATGACTGAAGTGACTGTAGGCATTGATTGTTCAGAAATCTTTTCCATAAAAGAAACACACTTTAATAGTGTCATTCTAAGCTGGGTCGTGCCGAGTCATCAGAAAATGGCTTGATTTTGACGCTGGTTATACAAATAAAGAAAGAAAACAATAGTAGTTGAGAACTTATCCGCGTGCCTGCTTGTGCTTTTTATAACAGCAATTGTTCGTTATCAATATGTAATAAAATGATGCAGACATATACTATTATTTAAATATCCTTTAATAGGTTCAAAACTTTTTCGATAGCTATTTATTTAGTTCCATAACAATATTTGGGGATGATGAATTTTGAGAATTCACAACGATATTACAGTTCATAATATTCTAATAGCATTAGAGAAACAATATCTATTGTTAATAATTGATCTCAAGATCCTTAAGTAATTCCTGCTTATTATTTCTTTCAGATTTGTTTAATGTACTCTTTCAAATAAAATTTGTTTCTGTGACTGAAAGAAACTGTTATACTTTATAATAAAGTTTTTCAGTTAATTTTGGTAGGGATCAATTTACGCTCGTCCAATTTAGATAGATGCATTCCGTGGTTGGAATTCTGATGTTTCAAATATCAATTAAACCGTTATTGTCAAGTCAACATATACAGAACTTTTATGAGTCATTTTATTCTATACAATCTAGTTCCTGTCGTAGTTTTATTAAGACAAAAAACAAAATAACTTTTGAAAATGTATGAAGCGATGACATACAGAAAAGGTGACTAGAGTGGGACAAGAGAAAAATAAGTAGATTGTACAAAGAAGAATATTAAATCATACAGTGCTGCGAAAGATTACAGAATCACCTGCCAACTTTGACTTCTCAGTATTTCTTGCAATAAAAACTGAAAGAGCAACTATGAATCAATGTATTGGTAATGAACTTAAAACGAAAAAGTATTATTAGTCAGCAAATAAATCCGACAAAAAGTCAAAGTCGGTAGGTGATTCGATGAATTTTCACAGCACTATCAATAGTAACATGTGCGCTGATACTAATCTGTTTTTTTTTGTAGCAGGATGAGTCGAATCAAATCCGATTGAAATTTTTCTTATTGTTTTCGGTCTTTAATATGTATACATTCAAATTGTATTCTACTCTGTCGTTCTAGGTAAGTCGTTCACTTCAATGAACCAGAGACTATTAATTTTTCAAGAAAGATTAGTGATCAACTGGTATTGAATGGATGTTTTCAAACAAAGAAGTGCAATCACTCTTGTAAACATCAAATTAAAGATAGACGCTTTTCGATAAAAACAAAACTATGCACACTGGTAGTAGAGGAATTGATTAAATCATCTGAAATCTTATACAAAACATGCTATTCATGATTGTTTAAGGCCTGTATTCATTTCAGTTAGGAAATTGCTTGTTATATGAGAAGAATTATGAACTCAAGAAGTTCTTAGTATTAACTGATCATTCTATGAATCAAATAAATTATTCATTTTCCCTTAAGTAAGCTTCCTTTTAGAAAACACCGATTTCCAAAAAAAAATAATGTTTCATTCACTTGATCTAAAGATTATGATAAGTGTCAGAGTAAAAATGTATCAAAAACTCTTCTTATTTCTTTCTTTCGACTATAAGGATCTACTAGCATTCTTTGAATGATTGCATAACTATGATGATCTCAGAGAATTTTTAGAGTTTCTCAATTTCTGACAGTTGTTACAATTTCTTAGGCTCTAGAACTTCTTGGAACAACGTTTCGTTTGCTTTGATGGCTTCATTCCTTCAATGAATTTTTAAGTTACACAAATTTCACAAGGGTATAACTCGTGAAAATCAAGTAGGCCTCTTCTATGATTTTCAATTCAACTTATCTGAAGAAGTCCTTGATATAAATGATGGAGGAAAACAAAATTGCGATGCAAAAACGTTTGATGGGTTTTAAAATTCTATTAACTTTGTTTTCTGTTTGGTAAAATATTGCAGAAAAAAGCAGAAACTCAATAAAGTCTTTGGAAATTGCTTCAATAACATAGTGATTCTTTTCTTTTGAGTAATATTCATCCACGTCAAAATATTATCCTTGACTTTTTACTATCCTGAAATTAACAACTAAAATAAATGAAATAACCATCGGTTAAACTGAGTCATATTTTGAGCACGATAAAAATCTGACTGAATGATAAACGTGAAATTTACCTGATATCGAGGATATGTATCAGTGATCATATTCAGCCGTTCACACACATTTCGAAGCGAGAATAAAATTATTACTGGCTCGAGATGATCAAGAATACGATAGACAATCTCAACGGGTAATGCCAATAAAGATGAAGAAACTTTGCTAGCCATATATGTTGCTTGCTTTCGAACACTGTGTCGTTAAAATGAATGCTTCTTTAAGTTTGCTTTTCTTTATCTAAATGTATTCATTGACAATGTGTCATCAAGTTTCATTACGGTTATGCAATTTTTTTTCTTACACGCATAACTGAAAGAAGTGTACTGCGAAAAGGCTAACGACAAAGTAGATTTGTAAAAGTACTCATAAATATATCATATATTCCCATCTAAATTTGATTCGAAAATTTTGAGTATATATAGTTGATCGTTCACGAGAATATTCATTCTTCTTGAATGTATTCAAAACCTCCTTCAGGTTTTCTTTCTATCCATTCCATTTCAGCTTTCAATATAAACGAAAGTTTTGCAGCATAAGATAATAAATAGACGAAACAGAGAAGTAAAAACAAAGTTAAAAATGTAAATATTGGAATTTTATTGTTACAATGCAAGATAAGTGTCATACATGGCAATACAACGAGCAACTAAAATAGTACTTTTTTGTATACACAGTTGCTTAACATGTAATTCATCTTCAATAATAAAGAGAAAAGACTAAAACAAGATTATTATTACTTTTTGCATCGTTAACAATACAGAAGATTTTTAACAAATGATATGGATTCTCTTCATCATAACTACAGATTATATTCATGAAATATCTTTAACTTGATGATCTCTATCACTCACTATTTGACTTAAGCCATCACTATAATTCTCTTGTTAAATGTGTTACACCGTCAAAAATTAAGAAGGTAAGCTTATTGGATCTTCAACAAGAGGTAATTTTTATTGAGATCTAGCATGAATCAATTATATGTTATGTAGTTCCTTCTTGAGCATGTGTAAAAGACGTTCTTTCAGCACGTAATTGATTTCATCCATTACAATCCAAACGACAAAATACTTTACCATAGAGAATTTAAAAATAACAATAGTTAAAACTAGACGCTCGTCTAATTGAAATCATTTCAAAATATTCATTTAAATTGAACTCATTTTTCTTGGTTGATTTTCATCGTGATGTTATTGCACGTAATAGGATGTGGGTGTGGCGATGGATTGACTGAAGATCCACACCCATCTACACTTCTGATGTTGACTGTAAATGCAGAAGTTTTTGAAGAAATATTTGACCTTCGAAAGTAAATCCTAGAGAAACAGCGTGCTTTGATGCATTAAGTGAGTTGCAGTTAATTATATATATTTCGTGTTGGTCGAAAGTTTTTGATATTATCGAAGGCGTTAACCGAGAAATTTATTGATGGTAGCAGCAAAAATTTGATCAAAATATACAATCTTTCATTTTACCTTACGAAATGCAATCGATATTCATACTTGATCAATATTTTCTGATAAAACAGTCTGTTTCTTTAGCTATTCTGTTTGAGTACTTATTCTAACTTGTCATCTGCGACGATTTGCAAGACTATTTAGAACAATAATTTTTTTAGTTTCATTGAAAACTGAAAACCAAATTGCAACAAGTCTGTCAACTACTCGAAATTTGATGTTGAGTTGAACTTTCTTTTTAAATATCTGTCTTTATTGTGTCATGAATTTAGTGATTCATGGGTGCAAAGAAATAAGAAAATAAAAACAAATTGAAAAAAGAGTCGGGGGAAGAATCTTCTCTTCAATAGTAGCTAGACTAAGACTCACACCGAACCCTTCAGGAGCTCTGTTGACAAGCTTTTTATTTAAAAATTTATTAAAATACTTATTCGGTTTTTTCCATGCTATAAACGAAATAACAAAAATGAATCAACATTAAGGTGTGCTTTATCGATATGTCGCTGAGGAAAAGGAAAGAAAAAGAATTGCACCATCACTATCGTCGAACAGAATAAGTTGATGTTTGTTTGTGTAGTAACATTGGACAAGCCGCGATTTCGTGCCTTATTCCGTTTGAGCCTGAAGCATACTTGGACAAAAGGAATGACCAACTTTCGGGAAGGTCATACCTAGGCACGAAATTAACTCGATACTTGTCCTTTTTTTTTTACTCATATCCTTTGTTTATTACACTCTATGAGGCTTTCTTCCATCTCTTTGACACTAAAGGAATGTATTCCTTTTTTTTTCCATCTCTCATCTATCGGATGGATCATTTCAGTTTCTATAGAAATGGAAATTCGATTTCTATTTGCAACAATAAATGCGAAAAATTCGACGGTATATTTTCGATAATAGTAGATCCTACCGAAAGTATTGATAGAAATATATAGAAACTGAATTATTATGGAATTCATTTGTTTTTAATTACTTTGTAATTTATTTGCGTCATTTAGTGTCTCTATTTAGTTCTATCAACATAATTATAGACGAAAAAAGCAATCGTAGAAAGATGAGTATATACATATGCAACGGGTAAATTTTATTTAAAGATTTATCATTAACGATACATAATTAGAGAAATATAGCTAATCGAACTAGGACAGGCTTTAGTTTTCTACAATCAGCAAAATTTACAAATAGAGATTTCAATAACTTTCGATGTTGTATAAGATTTTTCAGTCCATTCAGTTTTGACAAATTCATCATATTGTTTATTCATATCAAGCAAAACCGACTGAAATGTGTCGAAATTTGTTTGCATGTCATCAGTAATCATTATTAAATTTTGTTGACATCTAATAAATATATTGATTCGTTCTATTTTTAGAAAAATTGGCCACCAATGAAAAATTAAATTATTCAATAAATCTTCATTTATAAAATCAAAATTCATATTGAGATAGAAACATTTTAGAACAGGCAAATTTTGATGTAAATTTTGAAAAATACTTGAAGAAGAATAATTTGAAGACCATTGAGCTTGAATAGTTCGAAGTTGTGAAAGAATAAATAATGGTTTAAAAAAGATCCATTCTCGATTTTTAACATAAATATCATAATTATTATATTCAAGTCTTTTTAATTTTGGCATATGACTTAAAAGCAAATTAATAATAGAACCATATGAATCATCTTGAAGTTTAATATCAAGTACTTCTATATTACTAATATTATTCGAATAACAATTGATTGATGTAGTTGGTCGTAAAAATTCTAATCGACAAATATGAAGCGTAGGTATAGCGAGAATACTATCAAGTAATATTTGATTTGGTACGCATTCAATAGAAAGATAATGAAGTGAATTGAGTTGCTGTAAAGCACTACATACATGTGCTATTTCTCGTCCACGTAATTTCATTGTTAAAGATTTTAATTGAATAAGCTTTGTACAATGCCATCGAAGAAATTCAGGTATGTGTGATATTTTATGTTGAATAATGGGTTGAATACTAATAATACGATTGAGTATTTTCTCAGGCCAATACGGTTGAATAGAATATTCTAAAGGATTTCGATTACTTTTTCCTAAATGAACATTAAATAAAAGATAATTCGAAGCAATTAATTGATCAAAATAATGATTTAAATTAGTAAAAGCTTGAAGAAGAACATGTGCTTCCAAATAAGAAAAGATTTCAATCCATAATTCAATCGATAAATGTTCAATACAAGATTTCATTGCTATTTCCATTGGAATATGGTTCTCATTATACAACAGTGATGAATCTACAGTTTCTTATGAAAGGTTTAAAGAGAACGAATAGAAAGAGCAGAGATGAAAGATGGCGATATATGAAAGAAATGTTAACTACTTCGCGAATAAAGATTTTGTATTATCAATAGACGTAGATTTCGACGAGATTAAAAAGAATATTGATCATTTTCAAAACATTTTAATACTTTGAAAAGGAATCTTTTGTTTTAGGTATGCATGAAGAAAATTTCATCAAATAATCAATTTTTTCTTTATCTAGTATTAAATAAATGATCTTATTAATACTTTTATTGAAATAGTTCAAATTAGAATATCATTTTTTTACAACTTATTAACGTATAAAAATTTTCCGAAGAATGTTTTCTGATGAATTATTTTGAGTCTATGTAATTTTAAACCATCGATCAATTTCATTGTTTCGAGAAAGAAAGTATTCCAGGTAATTATCTAATTTTTTTTCCATCGATTACTTGAAGAATAATTGCAAAAAAAAACTACATAATCTCAAATAAAAATATCAATCTGTTCAATTTTTATTCTAATCAACAACAATGATTGAAAAAGACTTCATTCAAATAATGACAATATATGATCTAGATGAAATTGTTTTAACATCGGCATTGTTTAACATTCAAAAAATATCTCTTTCATTATATTGAAGATTTCATTTCAATTTAGCAATTCAAAGTTCTATAAGAAAATTTCAGGTCTCTTTAAGTTAGACATAGTAGCTGTACTGTTGAATCCTTCGTTCGTTGAAAAACCATTGTTTTTCTGATAACATTGAAATGCGTATAAATACAGCATGTGAGATAATTATGAATTTCTAGATTTCCTGAACGACTCTGCAAGGTAAGACAATTTTGAGAAAATTTTCAAACATCTCTTGAGCATGCTTCTGTAAGAAACAGATGTTATCTACGTAATTTATCATTGCAATACTTTCTATTATATTTTTTTTGGAAAAAAAAAACACCACTTAAGACTGTTATAGCTGAGTTGCTGTTGTGTTTTCTCAAAGTTTCATTATTTTCAATTTTATTTCTTTTCTTGCTTACCAGAATAAATCTTAATTCGTCTCTCTATATTTTTTATACATTACATCGAAATTTGAATAATAAGTGAAGGAAATAAATATACATGCCTAGCATGAATAATACTATTGTTGAAATAAAAAGTGATTCTTTTTCCATGACAATAATGAAAAAAACAAAGACAAACATGGAAGAAAAGAGTTAGAAACATTCGTATAAATTTCTTTTTGCTCTCATCTAGAAAATGCTTGTTTTAATAACATAGAGAAATAAAATTAAAAATAAGTATAATTTTTTTTGTTTTGTTTGATTACAGAATAAACTTTTTTCTTTTGCAGCAAACAAATTCCGCGAAGTGATTGAACTTTGTCTTTAAATTATCTTTTCAAAATACAATAAAGATAAAGTGCGACTTCTGCAAAGTCTTTTTATTCTTCGAAGAAAATGTCAGAACTTTTTTCTACTATGGTATCCTCAAATCAACGTAGTGATTGGTTCGGAAAATAATCTTCTGGCTACGTATTTTTCAAACCGTTATCACAACTCTTTTTTCTTTTTCTTCTATGCGATATTTTTCCTTTTCCACTCAGTGGATAAATGTATACAATTTTTATTCTCGAGGCTTCTCGTAGAGAAAATCATGCCCAAACTCGTTTGAGATCTTCGTTAAGTAATCAATTCGAGCCTTGTTTTTTTCCCTTTCAGAAACAGAGACTTCCATGATTTATCATCAAAGTTCATTGAAAACTTCCAAGATACGGAATACGAAGTTCTCTAGCACTGATTCTCACACGAATGATTCTGCTTCGTATTTCTGATGATTACTTCTTATTAGTTTCGAATTTGATCGATACTCGACAAGATATGTCTTATAGTTTGTAGAAGCATTAATGTATGCACACTTCTAGAAAAAAGAAAGTCGTTAAATTCGTCGTTCTTGATTATTCTCGAGTTTAACCATTCTCTCAACAAATGTTTGCAACTTGTATGTCAAGCACTGTACAAATATTTCTTTTCATCATTCTTCATTTTTTTTTGTTCTACTTCGAACATCATCTGAAGAAGATATAAAAACGTTTTAGTGATATCTCAAAGATATGTTTTTAAAGATTAGAGTCGTTCATCACGAGTTCTATGTCAAGGTTGTAATGAGAATTTTAGCTAAGAACATATGTCAAAATATGATGATCCAATCGATGAACAATTAAAACCTTTAGCCAACGATATCACAACAGTTGAAAATCGATTTAGGAGTTCGAATCTTCAAAATATGATGGATAGTTCTTATGAAAAACTTGAACAATGGGTGTGGCAGTAGTTGTCAGTGTGTGGACATGGAGTGTGTGGATGAAGTCAAGATGCCAACGCACGTTTACACCTACCCACACTTGCACATCCACCGACGCCCACACCCAGACTCCCATCCTTTCTTTCAGAGGCTTCATAACATAACGATTACAGTCAATGATCTGATCTTCGATTTTTCTTTAAACTTAGAGGTCGATTGTGCTCCTTTACTAGCCACTCAAAACTTTACATCATCAACTGCTTGAGTTCTTAATTTAATAAATATTTAATGAAATACTTCACGGATGTTCCAAGTGAGTGATTTAATAATCTTGCAAAAGTTTCTGTTTTCCTGCATAATATTACTGGTGTCTTGTTACTAATCGATTCTTGGAAGAAGCACTCGACATTTCCCATTTCTTTCAACTCTAGTGAACTTTAGCAAAAATTTTCTAAGCGGCTTTCTGAATTTTTGATCGCTCCTCTTCCAATCTTGACGATCTCCAGATACCACTCGAGTATCTTTAGATTTGACATCGCCATTAATAATGATTATTTTTGAACAAAGTATCTCGCACGATTTTGTGCTTATTTATTTTCTCTACTTTTTTTATTTGCGTTTAGCAGCTTCAATAATGAACATAATGAAAGCTGCAAGTATTTGATTAGTTTCACACGCTTCAATATAACGTCTTTGAAAATCTTTGCTTTCATCTTTAGTTAAAGCACCCTTTGTGACCAAAATGTCTCCCATTCCTCGAATTTTCATCCAGTCTTTGTCTTGACTTGCTAAAAAATGACCTGATTGAAGAAATACTATTGGATTCAAATCTTTAATATCAAAATTCATTTTTGGTAACATAAATTGCAAACGAATAGCAGTTCCACCATCTCTTCTGCTTGGTAAAACACTATCATATGTTTTAATCATAATTTCATCTGAACTATAAATATCTCCACCACCACTTTCTAAAGCTATTAATCGGCCATTAACTTTTAATACTCGTTTAATTTCCATTAGAGCTTTTGAAAGATCTACATGTAGAAGGGTATTATCGGATCGGACAATATCAAAAGTTTCGTCATCAAATTCCATTTGAAGAATATCACCACGAATTATTTTAATAGATACATTTGATGTTAAACTATCTTTTTTACTTTCATATAATTTCTTTGCTTCTTCTATCAAAGTTGAATTTTGATCTAAACCGACAATTGAAATTGTTTTACCTAAACGAATAGCTTCTTCTGCTACTAAGATTAAATCAATACCTAAACCACATCCAATATCAAGAATTTTAATTTCTTGTGAATTATCAAATTGATCAAGTTTCATTATTTGAATAACACGTTGTTTTGCATCAATCCATTCTTGTGATAAATGTTGTTTTAATAAATGTTCAACAAAATCAAGTTTTAATCCAGATGCACATGTATTATTATTATCTTTCCATACATTACTCAAATCTTCGGCAGTAAGATGTCGCTTTTCTGTCATTGTGTATTATGGCTATAAGATGTGGAGAACTAAAATAATGTTAGATGTCAACTTTTACACACTATATCAACGAAATCAAAAAGAAAACGAATGTGATAAAGATAGAAAGAAAGGCAAATATTGAATTTATGACGAAACTGTGACAATGATAAAGGCACATAAAGTGCAACAAGTGGAAAAAATAAAGCTCAAGTTATGTATCAGTCTTTGAAAGCTTAAATAAAATCTACTTGTTTCAATTTCAATCGATCACAGTTTTCTTTCATTCAAATTTTTATTTTAACTACTTGTAATTATTTATGTGAAGAAAAGAAAAAGCCTTTTAATCTAATCCAGGTACTATATTTTAATATGTATAAGTGAATATTCCAAATACTTAATGCTTGAAAGATTTACGTAAATCAAGAGTATTTGTGCGAATTCAAGTCACATTGAATGACTGTAGTACGAGGATTGGAAGAGAACAAGTAATCAATAACAAATATGTTTTTAAAAAAGAATATTCGCTTAGCTAGATGCTACTATTGTGCTACCAATTTTACTCATTAAACAAGCGAGCTCTGAAAAGAAATTTGCATAAGATAATCTTTTTGATAATATTCATCACTTTTATGTTCTCTTTCTTCTTGAGGGTGTGGGTAGATCTTTTCTTCATTCAAACCCACACGCTATTCTATAGCAACAAGTATGAAAAAAAAATTTGTTCAGTTATCGTTAGGTATGGTAAATATCTGTGTTGCCTATTTGGTAATTGGTATTAATCTCAATTGGAAGCAATCATTTTGATATTGTCAAGTTCTAACTTATTTTAATTTCTTTTTTGATTGATTAAAATTATTTGTTTCATCATTGTTTGTTCCGACAATTAATCTCTTATCGATGTCTTTTATATGTTGGATACCTAAGCTAATTGTATTATCAAAATGTTTTATATTTATTCCCTCGACCGAAGGGAGGGTCATATGAAAAAAATGCGTCCGTTTGTTTGTGGCAGGGTCAAAGGTCAAAAAAACATCCATTGAAATTTCAGGAGGCCTTTTCTCCCTTATGGTAAGGGAAACACATAGTCACGTTCGGCCCAACCCTAGGGTTATCGAGGACGCTATATCGATTGATGGGTATATGTAGGGGTCCCCACCAATCCCATCACTGAGAAA